TTCTTCACGTTGCCCTTGAATCCCCCCTGTTCCTCCTGCTTTCCTCCTCCCTCCTCCACCTCCTCCTCCTCCCCCCTCATCCTCCTCCTCCTCTCCACTTCCTCCTCCTCCTCCTCCTCCTTCCTCCTCCTCCTCCTCCTTATTCAGCTCACGACTGGTGGGGGTGTAGCTCTTCTTCCTCCCTCCTTCCTCCTCCCGCATCCTTCTCCCCTCTCCCCCTCGCCTCCCCCTGCCTCCTCTCCTACCTCCTCCCCTCGTCCTCCTCATCCACCTACTCCTCCTCCTCCTCATCACCAGCATCAGCATCAGCAGCCAGCATCGGCATCAACAGTCATCATCAGTAGCATCCGTGCATCATCATCATCATCATCAACATCCATCACCATCATCACCATCATCATCACCATCATCATCACCATCACATCAGCATATCATCAGCGCCGCCATCATCAACATCAAGCAGCATGTCATCATCCTCAGCAGCAGCATTCACAGCATCAGCATCATCATCATCATCATCATTCATCATCATTTATTCATCATCAATCATCAGCATCGTTCATCATCATAATCATCATCATCATCATCATCATCATCATCATCATCATCATCATCATCATCATCATCATCATCATCATTCATCATCATCATCATCACCATCATCATCATCATCATCATCGTCATCATCATCATCATCATCATCATCATCTGCATCATCAGCATCAACAGCAGCATCATCATCAACAGCATCAGCAGCCTCCTCATCCTCCTCCTCCCCATCCTCCCCCGCCTCCTTCTCCTCCTGCTCATCCTCCTCCTCCACATCCCCCCTCCTCCCCCTCCTCCTCCTCCTCCTACTCCATCCTCCTCCTCCTCCTCCTCCTCCTCCTCCTCCTCCTCCTCCAACTCCTCCTCCTCCTCCTCCTCCTCCTCCTCCTCCTCCTCCTCCTCCTCCGCCTCATCCTCCTCATCACCATCCTGCTCCTCGGCCTCCTCCTCCTCATCCTCCTCCTCCTCCTGCTCCGCCTCCGCCTCATCCTCCTCTTCCGCCTCCTGCTCCTCCTCCTCCGCCTCATCCTCCTCCTCCTCATGCTCCTCATCCTCTTCCTCCTCCTCCTCCTCCTCCTCATTATCCTGCTCGTTATCCTCCCTCCTCCTCTCCTCCTCCTCCTCCTCCTCCTCCTCCTCCTCCCCTCCTCCTCCTTCTCCTCCTCCTCCCCGCCTACTCCTCCTCCTCCACCGCCTCCTCCTCCTCCTCATCCTCCTCATCCTCCTCCTTCCTCCTCCTCCTCCTCCTCCTCCACCTCCTCGTTTGCCGCCTACACCATCTCATCATCCGCCTGCTCTCCTCCTCCTCCTCCTCCTCATCCTCCTCCCTCTCCTCCTCCTCCCCCCTCCTCCTCTTCTTCCTCCTCCTCCTCCTCCTCCTCCTCCTCCTCCTCCTCCTCCTCTCCCCTTCCCCCCTCCCTCCTCCTCATCATCATCCCCCTCCTCCTCCCGCTCCTCGCATCCTCCTCCTCCTCCTCCATCCTCCTCCTCCTCCTCCTCCTCTTCCGCTTCCCCTCCTCCTCCCCTTTCATCATCCCCCTTCTCCTTCTCATCCCACTCCTCATTATCCTGCTTCGTCGTCGTCCTCCTCCTCCTCCGCCTCCTCTTCCTCCTCCTTCCTCCTCCTCCTCCTTCCTCCTCCTCCTCCTCCTCCTCCCTCCTCCTCCTCCCCCCCTCCTCCTCCTCCTCCCTCCTCCTCCTCGCTTCCTCCTCCTCCTCCTCATCCTCCTCCTCATCTTCCGCCTCCTCCTCCTCCTCCTCCTCCTCCTCCTCATCCTCCAGGTCTGTGTCCTCGGCCACGGGGTGGGGTATCCCAGAACCCCACGAGTTTGCAGGTGGTGAGTGGAGGTTTGATGATGCGATGTATACTGGAGTGAAGGCCCTGGACAGTCATGCAGGTGTCCTCAAAGATGTTTCGGATGTGCTGCAGCGACGGTATTGGCAACAGGCTAATCAGCACACGTGTGGTGAAGGCTTGCAGGACGGATCTGATGTCGACTCCTATCGTGTCTTGATTCAGCATTTACATGATGTCCCACAGATTGGCCATCGGCTCAGTGAAGTTATGTCGATCGCAGTTGGCAGCACGTGGACGCGTGCAAGGAAGAAGACAGAGATCCCACATTTTGCTGGCACTGACAAGTGCCCTCGTTGCCAGCTTGAGCCTGAGACGCCTCTTCATCGCAGTTGGACGTGCAGTTATAACACCAATAAGGAGGCGTGCACCATGACAGAGGATCTTGTGTATCAGACCGCGGTGCAAGCGGAGGCAGAGCCAGCCTTTTGGCTAAGGGGACTGCTGCCTGCCCCATGGGTGGCTGTCCCGCCTCCTGCCCACGCCGAGACCTGGGTAGTGACAGGTCCTTTTGAGCTGGGCCCAAGATGCCTCGGGCATGGCACGGGCCAGGCTCCGTTGCTGCTCTTTGGCGATGCCAGCGGCGGCCCCGACACTGCTGTCACCAAGTTTCGCTGTGTTGGATGTACCATCGCACTTTTCCACGAGCTGGAGCCTACAGTGTCCATTGCAGGGACCATCAGTGGGCCACTCTGCGGCGACAGGCAGGCTGTTCCCCGCGGAGAGCTAAGGAGCCTGCTTCTAGCTGTTTGGGCTACGAGCGGCTTCATCACTTATGTAACAGATTGTGAGCCAGTCATCGGAGGCTGGTATGCCAGACGCTTCGAGTATCCGAGCGGGCCTGATGCGGACCTGTGGGCCCAGCTCGGACAACTCATGCAGGATCGTGGTTTCAACTCAGTATCTTTGATTTTCGTGCACTCCCACCTCGGGGGTGCGGAGATCCAGGCTGGAGCCGCGCCGAGATGGGCGGTCACTGGCAACACGATTGTTGATGTTGTGGCGGGAGCTGCGGCCAACGCTGCTCGCTTGCCAGAGTCTCTCCGCCAACGTATTCTCATCCACGAGCGGAGAGCGAGGCTTGTGCGTCTGCGCCTGCTGAGGGCGACGATCGACGCGATGGAGGCCGATGCGGCCCCTGGTGCTCAGGAAAAAGCATCATCCTCCTCCGTCCCCGTCCTCCCTCTGCTGCTGCCCTCTCCCTCTTCTCTACCTCTCACGCTCTCGATGAGTGGGAGGAGGTGCACTTGTTGTGGAGGGTCGGCCAGCAGGGCTGCAGCAACAAAGTGGCGCCAGTCAGAATGTTTCCAGCCCGTCAACTATACTGAGTCCATCCTTTTAAAGCCCCCCCTGGCACGTCTGCACATAGCGGGGGGGGTGGGTGGATTGATCTCATGCCATGCAGTATCATTCACATCTCAAGCTCTGGAATTGTAAGTTGTGCGGTTCTTTTGCCTCCGAGGTCCTACGTGAACTTGGCAAGGTCTGTACCAAGCGTGTCACCACACATCGAGCTGTATATCTCGATAGGATTTCGCGTGGTTTATGGCCTAAGGTTTTAAGTGCACGTGAGAAGCAGAGCCGTGGTCGTGTATAGTCATGCCTTCATGTGTAATTCGTCACGTCATGTTGGCACAGTTGACTCTGTCACATGGTCATACTCATACTCATACTCCTCCTTCTCCTCCTCCTCCTCCTCCTCCCCCGCCTCCTCCTCCTCCTCCTCCTCCTCCTCCTCCTCCTCCTCCTCCTCCTCCTCCTCCTCCCCCTCCCCCTCCTCCTCCGCCTCCCCGTCCCCCCCACCTTCTGCTCATGCTGTTCCTGCTGCTCCTGCTGCTCCTGCTCCTCCTGCTGCTCCTCCTCCTCCTCCTCCTCCTCCTCCTCTCCTCCTCCTTCTCTCCTCCCCTCCTCCTCCTCTCCTCCTCCTCCTCCTCTCCTCCTCCTCTCTCCTCTCCTTATCCTGCTTCGTCGTCGTCCTCTCATTCCTCATCCTCCTCCTCCTTCCTCTCTCCTCCCTCCTCCTCCTCTCCTCCTCTCCTCCTCCTCCTCTCCTCCTCCTCCTCCTCCTCCTCCTCCTCCTCCTCCTCCTCCCACTCCTCCTTATCCTGCTTCGTCGTCGTCCTCCGCCTCCCCTCCTCCTCCGCCTCCTCCTCCCCCTCCTCCTCCTCCTTCGCCTCCTCCCCCTCTCCCTCGTCCTGCTTGCACCGTGATGTGCTCTGGTTGCTGTGTTTCCGCTTGCGTGCCGTAGGTGATGCGTGGACTCGGCTTGGAACGCTTGGCATCAACATGCGCCTCTGGTGCTTCGCAATCGTCACGAGGACTTGGCTCGATGCACCGGTTTGCCCTGTTGGGGGTTCCAAATTGCTTGTTCCCAACTGTCGAAATTGACCGAACCATACGCACAGAGAGGAGGAGGAAGGGAAGGACCAGGAGGGGATGAGGGAGGGTCGCTGTTCCCAGACAACCTCGCTCGCCCCTCCCACCCACAGAGCAGTTTTCTGCCTCTGGTGAGGGGGGGGGCCAGGGCCCTGAAAACGTCAGAGAATGATTTTGGGGCATGAGGCTGTTTGACCCTGGGGATGCCAGAGAACGACTCGGCGGGACGACAAAGCAGTCCCCAAGGGGACGAGACCATCGGGGGCCAATGCTGTGAACTGTGAGCAAATCGCGATCTCGGCGTTCGAGTTCCAAATTCGAGGATCCAGGAGTTCTGATGGTTGTGTTGCTTGTGGGGCCTCTGGGGGAGCTCGGCGATGGCACGGCTGGCTCCCCCTTGATGTCTGTCGAATCGGCCCCTGGGACAAGCCATGGGGGTAGTTTTTCGCCCACTCGATTTCTGGTGACTAAATCAAGCCGCGTGATATATGTGCGGCAAATTGCGGTTTCTGGAAACAGCTTCTGGACCCTTGACAAACGGATCGGGATGAAACACCAGCTGGCCCCGTGGAAGGGCTTGAAGGCTCCATGACCGGACGACTTGGCACAAAAATCAGCTGCCAGAGGTATGAGGAGCGGAGAGGCGGGAAAAGGAAGATGTAGCGACTGGTGGAGGACAGAAAGTAAAAGGAGGGAGAGAGAAGCTAGGGAACCGCCGCCGTCACGGAACGGTCAGGATCTCGCTCCCGTGCTCGGTCACGAGGATGGTGTGCTCCCACTGCGCGGTCCGCTTGCCGTCCCTGGTCACGTAGGTCCACCCGTCTGGCCAGCGCTCGATGTGGCGCTTCCCCTCGGTGAGGATGGGCTCAATGGTGAAAACCATGCCGGGCCTCAGCTCTAGCTTCAAGCTGTCGGGCCTGTGGGCCACGTTCGGGAGCATGTGCAGCTCCCGTCCGAGGAAGTGGCCCACAAACTCGGACACGACGTCGTAGCCTGCCTCGGTCGCGATGCGGTGCACGATGTTTCCCACGCCGCTGAGGCAAACCCCAGGCCCGCAATACTCGATGGCGGCCTCGAGGGCCTCTCTGGTTGTTCTGCAGAGACGCCTGCCGTCTTCATCCACGGTGCCGAGCTCCACCATGCACGAGTTGTCCCCAAAGAACCCCCCTAAAAAGGCGGCGACGTCATAGTTGACGATGTCGCCGTCCAGCAGAGGCCGCTCGTCGGGGATCCCGTGCACCACAACGTTGTTGACGCTCGAGCACATCGCCCGCGGGAAGCCGTGGAAGTTTATGCCCACCGGGTAGCCGCCCTGCGACACGATGTACCTATAAGCCCAGCAGCTGCGCAACACACAATAATTCGGAGGCCCGCGCGGATTTCTTGGGTCGGCGCTGGACCCCTTCTCCTGCCCCTGGGGCGCCACCCCTGGCGCGCGCCGCGTGCAGGGCACACAGCGCGGCGGGGGGGGGAGGCCCCGAGCCCGCCGAAGCACTCCGCACAGACCCCCGACAGCTTCTGCTGCTCTCTAAGCTTTGGCCTTCCCGAACCTGTGCACGGCGTCGTCCACCGCCGCGTTGGTGACTCCGACCGCAGCGGTCTCCCGCGCCACCTGCCCGACTCTGGAACCCCTTGGTACGCAGGGGGTGAGCCCTCTCGGGGGGAGCGTGAGCAAGGTTTCACTTCCGCCGTGCTGTCCGCCGTCTGAGCGGCTGGCGGCTCCTGCGCTTCACTCATGCCGGCCTCCGCCAAGAGTGCCACGTCGACGCCTCGCTCCCTCGACGACGCGGCCCTGTTCCCAGACCCCCCTCGGGTAATGAAAAAATCATGACGGGATTCTCTTAATTTTTCGGCCTCTGGAGGCCCTCACGGGCCCTCGGGACCGTCAAAAAACGACTCAGGATGGAAAACCGGTTCAGGGGAATGGGTCGAGACCTCTGAGGGTCGACGTTACGAAAAAATCATGACATCGGGGGTCTGGGTTCCCAGACCGCCCCCCCCCTGACCTCAGGTTCTTTTTTCACCCCGTCGACCCGCAGAGGCCTCGACCCAACACCTCGTCGACCCGCAGAGGTCTCGACCCACCCCTGGCGAGGGCCCCGGGAGGCCGACGTCGGCAAAACGCCTGCCGTCCCGCTGCCCTTCACGACGCGAGCCTGCCTGGCCCCGGGGCCACGGCCCGAGCCTGCGGCGGCCGTCCGGGCCGACCGGGCACCTCGGCGCAGCTGCCGGCCTGCCTCCCGAAGACGGGGGGACCTCCGGGAACCGGCGAGAGCGATCCCTGGGGGGCGGCCAAGAGGGGGGGGGGAGTCCCCGAGGGGGGGGGGCGCAGATCATGGCCGGCGGCGTGTGCGCGGCCTGGAGGGGGCCAGGGACGTGTTGAGATGCGAAGAGGGGCCACGAAATCCGGGGAGACATCATGGCCCCCGCCATGCTATCCACTCCCCCCTTGGTCATCAACCCCCTCTTTGCCGCCCCCGACGATCGAGCACCGAAAAGCGCACGACGCGGGAAGGTCTGGGGGCCGTTCCCTCGAAAGCACGGCCCCGCTTGGAAGGGCGCCCCGCCTGCAGGGCCTGAGCCGCGAGCCTGCACGCCGCGCGTATCTTCTCGATCTCGGCGCTCGTCTTTACCTCGGCCTCGAGGTGCCTCGTCTGCGTTCGCGATACAGTAGGGGCCCGTCCACAAGGAACCTTGCACAACAAAAACCCAAACCCTGAGACCCCAGGACGTCCACTGGTTGCTGGTGTGGGAACGGCACGCGTTCCGTCAGAAAAACCACCGAAACCCAAGCAACCCAGGGCACAATGGAGGCAAGCAGGGTGTTTCTTAGCATGAGCCTCCACTGTATGGGGGAGAGGGCGACGGGAACGGCTCCGTCACGAATGCGGCCATCGTGCTACTAGAAGGAGGCTAGGGGGTCGATGCTTGCCCCCCCCCTTGGGGAGACCAGAAGGTAACGATAGATACCGCTACTCCCAGGACTTCTCCCGGGATGCGTTCTGACCAGGATTTCGAGGCGAATCCAGCGGTGGCGACGAGGGCCTCACAGGAGGTCGAAAAACGGGACAACGGGCGAAGGGTAGAGGTATGGGTACCTTTGCCTCCTCTCACCCCTGGGCCAGTCCCTGCCTGTCGATCAAGGGCCCCGCAGATGGAGATCTTGATAAACCGCGAAGTTGGCGCGCCCGAGAAGACTGCAGCTGTGGGTCGAGACATTCTCCTCTCTTCGCTCTTATCCAGCTGGAATCTTCAAAGCCCTGGCCTGCGGGGTTCTGACCCCTGTCGCCAGACATCCTGTCTGACTCTTTCCATCGCGGGGCCCGCGGAGCTCCCGGCCCTGTCCCCAAGCCCCGTTTCTTCCTCCAGAGCCGTTGCTTCCAGGTCCCAGGGCCGGGCGAGGGCCCCCGGGGCCTGAATCCTGCGGTCGCCTAATTTCTCTCACGCCGCGAGCATGTCCGGGCATCGCTGGCTTCTGCGCGCCGCCGCGCGCCTCACGTCCGAGGGCTGCCCCGACTCCGCGTAGGAGGGCCGGGGCACCTCCCGCGGGACCGGCAGCGCCGGCGGCACGCGGCTGGGCCCCGACAGCCGCTGCCAGGTCGCCCCCGCGGCGGCGCGCGCCGGCCGCGCCCACCGCATATTGTCGTGCCCCGGGGGAGCCCGCGGCGTGGCCGCGCGCGGCGCGGAGGGCCCCCTCGGAGGAGGAAGCGGAGGGAGGGGCAGGGGAGGCACCCAACGAGGAGGGGCAGCGGCAACGACCACGGCGGGGGGAGGAGGGCCGATGTCACACGCAGGAGCGGCCCTGGGCTGGGGTGGCCTCTGGTGCGCGGCGCCACGGGGGACGCGGGGAGACCAGCACACGAGCGCGCACGACGCTACTGTCGCATCATCGCCTTCCGCGACCGGGGGGGCGCTGTTGGGCCCGCGCCAGGTCACTCCGGCGAAAGTTCACTCTTGCGTCTAGGGGAGGGGCGGAGAGGGCGATCATGAGAAACCGCTAATGAAGTTGTTCAGTTTTGGTTTCCCCCTGCCTCTTCTCTCTCTCTCTCTCTCGGCAGTGAATAGGACTGGCCTAAAACCTCCTCCTCCTCCTCCTCCTCCTTCTCCTCCTCCTCCTCCTCCTTCTCCTCCTCCTCCTCCTCCTCCTCCTCCTCCTCCTCCTCCTCCTCATCATCATCATCATCATCATCACCATCCTCCTCCCTCCTCCTCCTCCCCCCTCCCCCTTACGTCGTCGTTGTTGCGCGGCGGGTGCCGCGGAAACGAATAACCACGTACCCCCCCCCCTATTGGTTGGACCCCAGGCCCTGAAGAAGGCCGCCGAACAGAGAATTCGGCAGCCCTTCTTGGGGGGGGGGTCTCAAGACCTTGCAGGGCCACAGAGAACAGGGCGTGCACGCCCCAGGGGCGCAGCCAGGGCCCGGGGACGGCTACACAGCGCGGGCCGAGGCGGCCGCGGCGGCCGCGGGCCTCCCCCCGGGCGCCTTTGGAGCCTCGAGGCGCGGGGCCGGCGGGGCCCGCGAGGGGCGCCGCCTGCGCCTCCAGGGGGGGGGGGGCTCCTGCGCGCGCCTGCCCCGACACGCAGCACGCAACACGCAGGCGTGAGGCTGCGGAGCTCGGCGCGCAGATCTACAGCGCAGGTCTGACGCGACACGACCGCCCAGGCGGTGGCCGGCATGCTGAGCCGACGCGCAGCGTATCGATGCGGACGCTTCGAGAACGCTACGTGTTGCGTGATCAGGACGGGCGTGCCGAGGCAACGAAACTCCCTCGTCGCCGCGGCCGGAACCGCCTGGGAATGAAAGCCAGATCGCGCCCCAGGATGGGTCCAGGGGCCGAGCTCTCTGACACCCGAGCCTGAGGGGAGCGGCCGGTTGCGGAGTAGGAGGGGGAGATGGGAGGGGGGAGGGGGGATGGGGAGGCCCAGGCATGGTGAAGGGTGGGGGGGGAGGAGGAGCGAATGACCCGCGGAGGAAGAGGGCAACGGATGCGGCGAAGGAGCGAGGAGGGAGGGACGGTCGGCGAGGGAGGAGGGGGTGGACGGAGCAACGGAGGAGGAGCGAGGAGGGAGCGACGGAAGAGGGAGGAGGGACGGGCGAGGTGGGAGAGGTTCAAGGAGGAGGAAGAGGAGGAGGAGGAGGAGGAGGAGGAGGAGGAGGAGGAGGAGGAGGAGGAGGAGGGAGGGAGGAGGAGGAGGAGGAGGAGGACGAGGGCTACTCTGGCCCCTGCGGGGGGGGGCGCTCCCCACAACCCGCGGAAGGGGGGGCGGCCCGAGCGCGCCGCCGCCATTGGCGGCCAGCGCGCGCAACGTGTACAACAACAACCGCCAGAATGTGAACAGGGTGATCACTCGGGAGAGGAAGGTCGTCCACCATCTGACCACATGCAAGCTGGACATCCTCAACATCGGCTACGAGAAATAGCCACTTCCGTGGAGACTACCGGCAACATGGCGAGACTATACTCGTATAAAGAAGTACGAACATATCCAGCTCTCAAGATAACGGGGTACCTCATCCGACACGGGCTACAACCACACCTCAACGACATCATGACCATCGCTACGAACACAGGACGAGATGAGCGGCGTAACATGCAGCGTGAGGACGAGCTGCGAAAAATGCAGCCCGAGGAAGAGCTGAGTAACACGAAGCCTAAACACGACACCAAGTTTGCCACCAAGACCGACACTAGAAACGACACGACTGAGCAGCCCGAAAGGGTTACTAAATACGTCGTCGTGGAGGTACTGGTGGACAACGGCCGCGCCGCCTACGATGAGTACGACTACGGCCGCGCCGCCTACGACGAGCACTACTGAGACAGTGCGTTCGATAACGACCTGTACTCCTACGACCCCCAGGAATACGCGGGACCGGAGGGCCACAACAACCCGAAAGGACTACAGGGAGACCCAGAACGTAGAACTATACGACTTGGCAGCCGACGACTCCGGACCCCGGGGAATGCGAAGAGAGCGTGCCTTCTGAACTTCTACAGCTACCAGCAGGGCTTCCAGGGCCATCAGACGACCTTCGGGGACCACAAGCTGAACTGCGAGGACCACACGCACAACTACGTGAACCACCTGAAGAGCTTCGAGCCCCACGTGCCGAGTTACGAGGTCCGCCAGCAGAGCCACGAGAGCAACACGCTGAGCTACGAGGACCGCGAGCTGAGCTACGAGGACCAGGGCTACGAGAGCCACCAGCTGAACCACCAGAGCTACAAGCTGTGTTACGAGGGTCACAAGCTGAGCCACAAGAGCCACCACCAGAGCTACAAGAGCCACGACCAGGAGTACTACAGGACCCACCTGCCGCGCTGCAAGAGCCACCTGCCGAGCCACGAGAGCCACAAGCTGAGCAACGAGGACCGCAATCTGAGCCACGAGAACTACCAGCTGAACTACGACGACCGCCTGCTGATCTACCAGAGGCACAGCCACGAGAGCTACGAGGGCTACCTGCTGAGCTTCCAGGGCCGCAGCCACAGCCACGCGGACCACAGGAAGACCGACATGACCCTCCTGCAGAGCGACTAGGGCGACGAGCTGAACGGCAAGAACTAGAAGCAGGACTCCGAGACCTACCAGCTGAACTGCGAGGGCCACAGACAAAGCTACGAAGGCCGCTACCTCAGCTACGCGGGCTACAGGCAAGACTGCGAAAGTCTCCCGCAGAGCTACTGGGCGACGAGAGGAACTGCAAGGACCACCTGCTGAGCAATGACAGCCACAAGCTGAGCGTGCTGAGACTGGGATCACTCGCTGAGCTACCAGGGCAACAGGCAGGGCTTGGAGCACCACAGGCTGGGCTTCGAGGGCCGCCAGCTGAACTATGAGAGCTGCGAGGGCCACCTGCTGATCTACCAGGGCCACAACTGCGGCTACGCGGACTACAGGAAGAACTGCAAGAGCTTCCTGCTGCTGAGCTGCTAGGACGACGGGCCGAACTGCAAGGCCCAGAAGCAGAACTCCGAGAGCCACCAGTTCAACGACAAGGGCCACCTGCGGAGCTACGAGGGCCACAACGAGAGACCCCGCCGGAGCCACGAGGCCTGCGAGCTGAGCTACGAGGACAGCAGGCAAAGCTGCGAGGCCTACGAGGGCCAGCTGCTTAGCTTCCAGGGCCACAATCAGAGCTACGCGGACCACCAGAAAACCTACCAGAGCCTCGTGCGGAGCGACTGGGGCGACGAGCTGATTTCTAAGGACCTCAAGCAAACTTCGGAGACCCACCAGCTGAGCTGCGAGGGCTTCAGCTGGAGCTACGAAGGATACAACTTGATTTACATTACGCAGATCACACGCAGACAACGAGAGCCTCCCGCAAAGCTACCAGGGCGACGAGCTGTGCCACCTACTGAGCAAGGGCAGCCACCAGCAGAGCTACGAAGGCCACGTGCTCAGCTACTGGGCCACGTGCTGAGCTACCAGGGCCACATGCAGGGCTACGAGGACCACAATCTGAGCTGCGGGAACCACTGGCAGGGCAACCAAGGCCACCTGCTGAACTACCAGAGTCTTCAACAGACCTACGACGGCCACCAGCTCCACCACGAGAACCCCGGGCACAGCTCCGAGGGCCACAGGCAGGGCCACGGGGACCTCCAGCCTGAGCTTTGACCTGGCATGGCCGTGCGCCTCGTCGGCATCAAAGCTCGCCCGCTACCCAACAGGCGGGAGCGTGCACTCGTGCCCTATGATGAGGCAACAGACCGCTGGGTATTCAAGGCTGGCTCGGAACACTTCCGGGTCACTACAGCCTGCCTGGAGCCTGCAGGTCAAATGGCCAAACGGGCGCTCGGGCTTGCGTTCCGGCAGGCGGCTCACATACGCGGCTGCCAGGACCCGGTGCACACCGACATGGTGTTCTAAAACATGTGCGGCCTGGTAGCCGCCGCAGGGCAGCTACGCGTAGCCGCCTACTTCGAGCTCATCCTAGACGTCGAAGCGGCCTTCGACACGGCCTACAACCAAATGGTGCCAATAAGCGCAAGGCGAGACCAGCCTGCCTGAAGCTGAATCCGATTACGAACTACAGCAGTACGGACACGGTATACAAGTACATCGTTACACACACACACACACTATACCGCGTCTACTTCAATTCAGTGCTGTACTGCAAGATCATTTGAGCGGCCCGGCCGCCCCTCCCATCCCTCCCCTCCCTCTTGGGCCCCCAGAGATACCAGGATCAGTGATGGTTTTCCTCCCTCCTTCCTCCCCTCCGCCGGAAAGAGTCCGACGGCGCTGCGCAGCAGCAGGAGGGGGACGAGGAGAGGGATGAGGGATGGGAGATATCGCGGGGGGGACAGATCGGGAGCCCGAGGAGAGAAATGAGGGGGCTACGCGGCGTCCCCTCCACCTCCTGTCCATCACGACGCCGTCGTGGCGTTGCTCGAGGTCCGAATGTTGAGCCGAGGATCCATGCTCACGGCTTTCAGCAAGAGATTCGGCGACACCAACCCCCGACACACCGCAATGGGTCTTTAGAACAAGCCCGGCAATAATGGGAACATAAGTATTTGTTGCAAGGGCTTACAGACGGATTGGGACCCAGTAAAATACGAAGGAAAAACTGCTCCCTCGCGGCGACCACAGCTGATAATCGGGGGCTGATGAGGACTCCTGATGATGATGACGCTGCTGCTGATGATGATGATGATGCTGCTGCTGATGATGATGATGAGGGGAAGGACGAGGAGGGGAAGGACGAATCGAATTGCCTGCCGAAAGCTTCGGAGGGGCGGTTAGCATTGAAGACCCTACGTACTGGGTTTAGTGAAACTGTGGACGGGCCACGGACTTTGGTGCTCAACTTGGGGATGTACGATGGTGGGGCGTCCACCCTCCTTAGGGATGCGTCCGAAAAGCCCCCCTGGAAGTATGTCCCCGACTTTTTTTTCTCTTCCCAGTGACAAGTTTTTCGCGCGGCGAAGGGGGGGGACTCAGGAGCTGGGAGCGAGAAATCGCCCGTGAGCCCCTTGCATAGACGCCTCTGGCCGGCGCCGAGAGTCCAGGGGCCTGTACAGAAGCCACTGGCGGCCTCCCAAGATTCATGGAGACGTTCGGAGACCTCTGGAGGGCCTCTGAGCATCGTTTATCCGATCCCCATCCCCAGCGGCGTGGCCTGGGCCGCACTGGCCGATTTACCCCCCTCGATGGGGATACAGGCCGTTCGCTTCGGGTTTCGAGGAGTGTATCCCCAACTGGGGGGGGTAATTTGGTGGGGGTCTCGAAGGGGATGGGGATGGGGATGAAGGTCGGTTGAACGATACTGGACCTCCCCAGGAGCTCCACCGACGCTCATGGGAAACCCTGGCGGCTGTCCGAAACACCTGTACGCCCACCCATGAGAGTGCCACGCACGTCAACAATCAGAAACAAACTCTGCTTTCACACAATCGGCATGCCTGATGCCCCTCGCAAGCTTGCATGGAAGCAACGAGTGCCTTCCCAGCCAGGTGCGAAAGACTGATTTTAGCCGTTTGATCGGAGGACACAAAAATCGTACTTCGGACGGCCCCTCGTACAACGGCGCTCTGGACCCTCTCCGGGCCCGCTAGGCACTCATCGGTCTGTCTTCGGACCCTTTTCGGGCCAGCGCACGCAGGGTGGGACTCATCTTGTGTCCTCTACAATCCGTCCAAGAGGCCTCGTCTGATCCTCTTCTCTATGCCGCTAGCCCCGCTGGAAAAATGTCAGAAAGTGCAAACCAGCGCAACAAAGAACACCGGATGAAGGTCCAACGATCTTTAACCCAATAGGGCACAATTACGAGTCGCAAACCAAGCCCTTCACAACGGTTGCGTTTCAAGCAATCCCGGGCCAATTGAGCCTCGTAATTCCCTTTCTCTTTGAGATTGAAGAAATTATTCGCCTCAAAATGCTGCTCGCCATTGTATTCAAACGCCAAGTTCAAATAACGGCAATACCCATCTAGCTCCAACCGTCTCCCCTGTGCCCCAACAAGAAACTCGGGACGGCATTTCGCAAACGTGCGCCCAGAGAAAATTGTCTCGAAGATGGCTCGGACCTCTCGCTCGCTTTTCCCTGCCGCACACTGTGGGCACCATGTGCCCGTATGCCTTATGTTCCTCAGCGGAGCATGCCATCGATGTCCCAATGAACATTCCCATTCCAAAGGGGACAGGCTGTTCTTGTAACTAACTGATAAGCAAAAGCCTGCACGCATTCTTGCTTCATTCTGGGCAACTGTGATATCCAAGCGTGTGCCAGCGCATATGTGGCACCACGTGCCACGATTTCGGATACCTTCAAGACTGGCAGACCATTCGTGTCCGTTTGCACATCGCCAGCGCATGGGCGTTCGAAGGGACTCATACTGGTCCGATAGGCACCATCCACCATGTTTTCGCGCTACTGTGCGTGCTGTCGCGATGCCGAGGCGCTTATGTCTGGGATGGCAAGTCGGACACCATGCGCCACTCTGCTTAAGCCTTTTCAATGAGTCCTCCCATTGATGGCCCAACTTGCACTGCCAACGCAATGCCGTCTGGTTGTTGTAATACCGCTCAGACAAACACAATCCGCCGCGTGCCCTAGCGAAAGCTTGAGCAACACGGATCCCCAGCCGAATCCGGTCTTTTGCGCATTGAGGACACCATGAGCCAGACCATCTCATACCTCCAAATCCAGCGTGCCACTGATGCCCCTCTGCGCACTGCCACTGCAATTTGGTGGAAGCGTTGGTGTAGTTCTTAGAAAGGCAGCGCCCCCCACGTGCCATTGCCCATGATTGTGCCTCGCTCAGGCTCAATCGATATGTTTGTGCACAATGTGGGCACCACGTGCTGTTATCCTTCACAGAATTGAGCGTTGCAAACCACTCGTGGCCACTGGCGCAGACCCAGTGCAACTTCCTGGCCGAACTGCTATATTCTGTTGACAGACACTGTCCACTTAATGATGAAGCTACCTGGTGGGCAACACCGATATCTAGCCGCCGCTTGTTATGGAAGCATTCAGGGCACCATGTTTGACGATCTTTAACACTGTTGAGACTCGCCATCCACTCATGCTTCTTTGCGCACCGCCACTGGAGAAGCGCAGCGTTATTTGTGTACTCCTCTGCCAGGCAGTGTCCGCCCCGTTCTTGCGCAACTGTTCTTGCAACTCGCAAGCCCAAGCGCAGACGACCAAAAATAATGTGGGTCGTGCGCATGTGCGCATGGCTCGTTCGCCAGGGTCCCCTAGCTTGCGCTAAGCATCAGGGTACAACGCGGATGAAGCATGCGGACCACAGGAAACACTTTAATGACCGATTTAACCCATACTGCTTGAGCCGAACACAACATGTTCATCCCACCTGCTCAGCCCACGACAAGCATGCGGAACACAGGCACACTTGAATGACATGTTACCACAACACACATGCTCGTCCCTTCTTGGCTCTTCTTGGGCCCCTCCTGCGACTCCTTTTGGGCCCGTGGTGGGAACGACAAGAGTGAGTAGGAACTGCGCTCTTCGATACCGCCGATCTAAAGAAACAACAACTACACTAACACACACTTTCGGAGGTCCGCGCGCATTCCTTGGATCGGTTCTGGCCCTCCCTCCCTGGGGCGCGGAGAGCGCGCCAGAGACTGCGGAGGAGACGCCGCAAAAGAGGCCCTACGCAAATCCATGACATCCGCGCGGACCGTCGAACATGTATGTCCATGCCGTTTTCTCTTCTTCGACTATCGACACGATCTGGGGCGCGATCTTGGGGTGGTCGCAAAACAGATGCGAATCCTTTGGGGCGATCTGAAAAAGCTTCAGGAGCCTCTCGGAAAGATAGGTCCTGTGCCATAGGAGCGACTGAAATTAGCGAAGCTCCGTTTGGACCATCCTAAAAAAGCCGCGCTGGATGATCAGGCGGCGCCAGGGGGGCAAGCCACGCCCAGGAAGGGTCGGCGCAGCACACTTTACTGGCAGGGCCCCTGGTGTTAGGAGGGCTCTAGGCTCTTCGTCAAGCCCAATCAAAACGATGACTTCCACTTTGGAGGCCCTTTTCGAAACCAGCGATCCTGATACGTAACAAACGAATAGGGGACTGAACACACCTTACACACACGAATCTCGTTTGTATAGATATGTTTGTATGTATGTATAGCAGTTGGTGCTCATCGAAATCAGAGCCATGCTTACGTAACCTATGGGCGAAGAAGGGGACACACAAGACTCAGACCGCTCGGCCCGAAACATACCTGCCTGACACGAACCGCGCAACCGGAAGCACCAACCCTGTGGCTGCGGCAACAGAGTCGTCTCTCCATAAGGTGTACGAAACTATGTGGCAAGGGGCGCCAGCACAAACAAAAACGCTGCGGAAGCAAACTCCCGAAAATCCGCCGACCCCTTGGGGTCATCGGCGTGTGAGATGCTTCCCCCCTCCCCAAACCCCTCCCCCCGGAGCCTGGTCCGGTCGTTTTGGAGGGGGGGGGGGGGGGGTCCGGCCGGATTCCCCGGGATCCGCCGGCGCGGTCCGGGGGGGGTCATCCGCTCCAGAGAGTCTGCTGGGGGGGCCGCAAACGAGCGAAGAGGCTCCCAAGAAGCTCTGCAGACGGTCCAAGAGGGCCCCGAGTCGCCGAAAAAACACTCGAAGACGGTCAAGATGGCCTCCAGATGGCCCCAGATGCCTCCAAGACGCCCCAAGAAGCTTCCAAGACGCCTCCCAAGATGGCCCCAAGAGGCCAAAATCGTCGATTTCCATTGGTTTTTTCAACGTTTTTGGCCTTCGCGTTTTTTCGGGCTTCCGACGCTCCAAGACGGCGAAAGAAGCCCCCAAGACGGCATCAAGACGACCCGAGAGGCTCCCAAGTGGGCCCCAACACGGCCCAAGAGCGCCTCAAAACGGCTCAAGAGGGCCTTCAGACAGTCCAAGAGGGCCCACAGAGGGGCCCAAGAAAGGCTCCAGACGGGGACCACGAACCTAAAATTCTAGCCTTCCGCCCCAAAAGGCGCCAAGGAGGCCCCAAGAGGCCTCCAAGAGGCTCCAAGAAGCCCCCAAGAGGCCCCCAACAAGCCCAAAAAAAGCCCCAAGCTGCCCCAAAACAGCTCCCCAGAAGCCTCCAAACTGCCTCCCGCAGGCCCCCGAGAGGATTCTCACGACGACGGCGCCAGAGGCTCCCACAACGGTCAACGAAGCCCCCAAGATGGCCCCAAAAAGGTGCCCAGCCTACGCCGTCGAGTCTGTCGCCGCCATTGTCGTCCTCGTCGTGTTCTCCTGCTCCTTCTCATCCTCCTCTTCCGCCCCCTCCTCCCGTCTCCCCTCTCAGCTTTCTGTCTCGTATTCCCTCCACTGGCTCACTTTTCACCTTCTCCGCCTTTGGCTGCTCCCCCATCCTCCCTCCTCCACGTCCCCCTTATCCATCCCGTCCCCAGCGGTCAGATTCCTCGCAACTTCCGTGCCTTGTCGCAATGCTCGTCACTTGGTTCCGCCGGGCGTTTCGGAGGGTCTCTCCGCGGCGCTCGTCCCGCTTTAAAACACTTCGCGCACACAACTGGGTTGTTTCGCTTGAAATAATTCTTCTTCTGGTCTTTCGACAAATGGCCCCCGTCTGAAAACGGCACGCCGCGCGACGGTCGTTGGCCGCGGCGGCGCGGCAGGAGGCAGGAGGAGGAGGAGGAGGTAGGAGGCAGGAGGCAGAAGACAGGAGGAGGAGGAGGAGGAGGAGTTTTTCGGGCGCGGCCGGACCGCGGACTTGCGTGGTGACGGGCCCCTGCTGTGGCGACCACCCCACCTGAGAAGCCAAGGACGGGGCAACACTAACTCGTCCAAGGCCCTGACGAGGCCGCAGCGCCACGCGGCCTTGCTCCAGACCTCGCCACGCTTCTGCTCAACGGCCCGAGCGGGAGACCATGTCTCTCCTCCCTCCTCCTCCTCCTCCTCCTCAGCGCTCAGGGCTGCCCGACCAACTCAGCGCCCTCCGACAACTCGACGATCCAAGAGGGCGACGAATCCGCCGACCCCTTGGGGTCATGGGCGTGTGAGATGCTTCCCCCTCCCCAAACCCCTCCCCCAGGAGCCCGGTCCGGTCGTTTTGGAGGGGGGGGGGGTCCGGCCGGATGCGCCGGATCCCCCGGGGGGGTCAAGACGCTGCTACGAGGCGCCCAGGACAGCCCAAGAGGGCGAAGGGCCCAAGAGGCTCCAAAGACGGCCCACAACGACTCACACTAGGAAGTGGATCGTTCGACCCCATCTGAAGAAGAAAGAGGAGGGCCCCAACGACTCTCCTGGTACCACTCGTTCGGGACATTCAAGACTCCAGCCCCCCTGGCGGACGAATTGGAAGGAAGAGAAGGGAGAGGAGGAAGAGGAGGAGACGAAAAGAGAGGAGGAGGAAGAGGAGGAGAAGAGGAGCGCTCCAACGTCGGACTCCCCAAGAATACGAGGGGTCGACGGTGTGGCGTAAGCCCGAGAAGCTCGATTGAACGCCGCGCACCTTCAGTTTATTGACAACTGGCATAGCTGATTAACAGGAGGCTCCCAAGACGCCCCCAAGAAGCCCCAAAAGGCCTCCAGGAGGGCCCCACAAGGCCCCAGAACGGCTCCCAAGAGGCTTCGAAACTGTCCCACGAGAAGCCCCCCAAGAGATCCCGTTACACACGCAAGAAAGCTCTAACCCATGACCCAGAGGCCCATCTCAGTGTCCCCTCCTCCCCCTCCTTCTCCTCCACTTCCTCCTCGTCCCCCTCCTCCTTTTCCTGTCCGCTTCACCTCATCCTCTTCGATGTTTCTCCCCGCCATCCTCCGCCACCCCCCCCATCCTCTTCTCCCCCTCCTCCTTTTCCTCCCCAGTACGCGCGTCCGATTGGACATCATTTGCATGTCTTGCATTTCAGGGTGCCCTTCTTTGCGTCGCAGTGTGAACGCGACGTCGTCCCGCATTGCCGTCCAGGGCCCAGAGGCTCCCAAGACGTCCCCAAAAGGGCGCCAAGACGACCCACGAGGCGCCCAAGTCCATGGGCTCGCTCCGGAGCTCCAAAACGACCCCTGAGACCTCCCAAGAAGGCCCACAGGCAATCCAAGAGGACCCCGACGCGCCAGAGAAAGGAAGAAGAACCAAAAAAAAAAATGATCGACCAAGATGACATCCAGACCACTCATGAACCCCTCCGGCCGCCTCACAGAGCCTCCAACAGAGCCCCTCCCAAAACCGGCGATCGCCCCAGAAAAAAAAACAAGGGGTCGGCGGATGTGGCGTAAGCTTGAAGAATCAGATGTCGTGGCTTTTCAATATTGGGTCCCCAGCAGTCCCGACTATTTGTCCCGGAAAGGCTGTTCATCCCGAATCGATGCGTGACGGTCCCGAGGGCACCCGGAGGCCGCTAACGGCCAAGAAACCTTCCGTCGCGATAATCCTCTCAACGCGCGCATGTTTGGGGCTCTGGAGCTGCGGCGGCAGAGCTGCTCCGCCAGAGGATACGCGAAGCATGCTGAGCAAGCCCGGGCAAGGCAAAATGACACAACAACGCCAACTCAGAATCGGTCCCCAGACCCCTCCCGGGTTCCAAACGCACCAGTTTTCCGAGCTGCGTCCAGCCATGGCGACGAGGGGGGCCCCCGAAGGCCAACCACCGTTGTTTGAACTCGCCATCCCCTGAATCTTTGGAGCTACGGCGGCGCGACGCCCTCTAGACAAGAGACGCCAGGGCGGGCGGGCGGGCGCCACCACGATGGCGCGCGGCGGGAGCTCCTGTGGCGAATCACGCGCGCGCGCTCCCTGCCGCGCCTCCTCCGCGTCCCTTGCGCCCACTCCAGGAGGAGGGAGAGGACGAGCTCATGCAGGTGGGGCGGGGGGGGGGGACTAGCACGGCAGGCACATACGATAGTTAGACGCTATAAGAAATCGTTTGGCCGCGCCTGCCCGGCGTCGCCACTCCCTCTTGGAGGCGGGAGAGGAGGAGCTGCTGCAGCATGTCATGTGGGGCGGGGGGGGCGTGCAGGAGGAATACGGTGAGGGCATTGGATGAGGAACCATTGACTGAGGAATCCAGGGCCTGGAAGCCGGCGGAACGCAAAGGGAGGCCTGGCCATGGGCATCACCGCCACACGCCTCAGATAAGGAACCCTCCAGAGCCTGACGCCGCGTGGGCACAGTCTTTCACGAGCGCCGCCGCCGTAGGAGAGGTGGCGCCAGAAGGGGGAACGTGGGAGGGGGAAGGAAGGTGTACTCC